AATTAGTTAAATGGATCTTATATTAAAGATCAGAGGAGTATATTTTTAATCTTCCACTGGGCAAGTACTAACTATTAAGGCTATTTTACCCTTTCTGTCTTTGGAAAAAAAAATCAATCGCGTCTCATTGATATTTTTTCTCACTACTTATTTTAATTTGCACAATGGGATGAGGGGGAAGAATGGGATAAAATAATAGATGTAAAGAGTGTTTGAATAGAAATCAAATTCTTATTGTAAAAATAATTTTACAGTACATGTATAAGTATATGAGAAAAATTTTGTCTCAACTTACTTAAAAGTACTTTTAAAAAACATCTTTTTTCCCACAGAAGAAAAAATAAAATAATTTTTTAGCACCAAGAAAAAACAAAATATTAACAACAGAATTTACACATCATTAGTGCCTTTTTTAATAAAATATTAATAATAGAATAATTCGTATGGGCCTTGATACTCAACTCGAGTTTTAACCTAGGGCCCAGAAACATGAACACAACGAGCCCCATTGATTTGGGCCTCCGAACCCTTCAATTTCATATTCGCAAAGGGCTGCCGCCAAACTAGTCGCGCGAGCGATCCGCGGATCTCTTCACTCTTCAGGCCTTCCACCCTTCATGCTCGCTGATGAAGACACTTAGATACCGGCGAAAAGGGTCGAGTTCATTGTAGTTTCTGCTTACAAGAGTATACTCCTCCAACCACAGCTTATTTTGTATTATTCTCTGATCTATTTTTTTTTTTTCCGTTTTTCATCGTTTTCGCAAAATTATCTGTGATCGCCGGAAGGTTGTCGGCCCTTTCCTGTGGGCAGTTAGTCGTTGGTGAAGTTTGACGTGGAACATGGGTGAGCTCTCCAACATCCTTTTTTTTTTTTGGAGTTAATCCAAGTTTTTTGAAGTTACCAACTGGCATTTGGAGAGATGGAATATATCTCAATTATATCTGAACTACATGCAGCGAATCAGATGAGTGAGAAGTCACGTCGAGAAAGGCGAAAAGAAGCCCGCCTGGCAAAGAAGGCGAATAAACATCAATCTTGGCTGGATGACCAGGTATAAATATGACCTTTTTTTATACGAGATTTCAAAGCTTGAGTATGAGGATGGTTTTCCACGAAATTGCTGTTTAGATGCCTCAGAAATAAAACAAATGTGAGTTTGTGAGGAAAAAAATTATATCCAATGCTCCTCGAAATCCAATTCACAAACCCTTTCAAACTGGTGGTTTGTAAGGATTGTGTTACTTGTATTTTTCATTTATTCTTCCATTCTCAATTTCGTTGAGATGATTAAAAATGGGGTATATTCCTCCTCACCCCCCCCCCCCGGGGGTGTAACGCTGAACAATTCTCACATCACCTTGAGCTCTTCAAAACTCCCATACAAGTCCTTATTCTCTGTCTGTCATGCTTTGCCACCAAGTATTGAGAAGTTATTCCTTATTATCTGTCTGTCATGCTTGGCCACCAAGTATTGAGTAGCTATTTCTAAAATGTATAATTACTTTACTCTAATAGATATCTCGCGCAATGAAAAGAGTTAACCAGGATTCAGAGGCAAATACTACATGCAAATCAAATCATTTGCTCAGCCCTAGTGTAAAGGAAACAAAGGTTAACAAGTCAGAATCCAACTCTGGGAGACATAGTACAGCTGAGGATTGTGAAATGTCAATGGAAATTACTGAGTCAAAATCAATGATTTGTCATGGTTCTGTTGCAACAATAACGAAGAAAGGAAATAAAGGTTCGAAGGAAAATTCCAGGAACAAGTCCAGATGTTTCCCGGTTGGTGTGCCAGATGTTTCCATAGCTGCCAAGAAGGATCAAGATTTGGAAAGGAAACTAGCCAAAAAGCTCAAAGTGAAAGACGGAAAATTAAGGGGTATGGATGATGGTCTCAATATATTACTTGATGGAATGCCATCTATTATTGATTTCATGGGCGAAGGGGAAGTACCTAGTGATGAATTACCCGCAAAAAAATTGAAGAAGAGATCTTCACGTAATAAAACTGAGGATGACATATTGGCAAGGGAAGGGCCACAAGCAAGGTCAATACCTGAAATTTCAAGGCTTGCAGATACTTCTAACCAAGATTTTGGATCGACAGAATTTTCTGTTAGTGCGCCCTCAAGTAAAAACATAAGAAAAGAAAATTGCTGGAACAACAGCAAGAAGGTAGTGATGTGAATGCTGCTGCCACATGCATATCCAAGCTTGCCAATTCCTGTGAAAAAGAGACGGCAAGAATGCATGTTCCTGCTCTGGTGCCAGAAAAAAGAACTAATGAAAAATACATAGCACCTCACTTGAGAGCACGTGCTGGAAATGAACCTGAAGAGCATACTCAGATCCGAAGGCGAATTCGAGGCAAGAAAGATAGACTTTGAATGGGTTTTGCATTTCTTTATTGTTTGTCTTTAGTTTTCTTACCTAAAATTAAACTTGTCTCAGGTCTGCTTAACAGGCTCTCTGAATCTAATGTGGAATCAATCACAGGAGAGATTTCTACGATCTTTCAGGTATGCTACTGCTATGGATACATAACAATCAGATGCTTACTCTTTATCTCATTCTTTTCATAGAATATTGCATATTATTGCTTCTCCAAATGGTAAAGGAAGAGGCATTAAGGGAAGACAATAAAATATAGGAAGTCTTGTATACATCCATTTTCCCCTTAAAATGTATTTTTCATTTAATTCTGTAAATAAAACACAATGCTCGCTGTTTATATCATTCACTGGATAAAAAGAAAATGACCTAATGGTGCATTGAGTTTTTTTTTTTTGAAGTTTTTATGCTAGTTGGATTTATGCACTGTAATTATAAATTAGATATGTGATGTAGGTCGTATTTATTCCCTTTTTTGAGATATCTCATTCCTTTCATAGGAATATTAGTAACAGTAACAGTAATTTATTTTATGTTTTAAATCTTAAAATTTGGGTTGGTTCCATTTCAATCAACACAGTTTAGGGAAACTATGCCTTGGAACTTGATTCTCCTCCCTGGTTGCTTGTATCAATGGAAGTTGTTGCTTTCTGAAATTTTATCTCTTACTCTTTAATCTGATCCCTTTGCAGACAATTGCTCGAAGTGTTGCTTCACAGATAATTAGCGAAGAGATTTTAGCATCTTGTTCTGGAGGTCCTCGTGGCAATGAACAGTTAAGAATTTATGCCTTTTATGTTGTGCTGTAGTGTTCTTGATCTCTCTTATCCAAGTTCATTTAATTGTTGGCACCATTCTTTCATTGGGGAAAGATGAGCATTTGTTATCAAATCAAAATTAGGGATATGATAGTAGTGAATGATGCTGACACTTGTTAGGATGCAGCTGCTTCGGCCAGGGAGTTAAAACATAAAAAATGATAATATTGAAAAGAGGCAGAGGAGGTAGTTTATAAAAATGAGGAGAGAAAACATGGCTGCAAAAGACCTCATGGAGAATGACATTGATGAGATTGAATCATAAAAAATTCTTGTGCTGGGATCTCTATTGGCATTCTTTCATGTATCTTATTGAATAATTGGTAATGTTAGGGCTGAAGTGGCTGCTTTATGGGTTTTGTAAATATCGTATTGGAGATTTAGAAATTTCCTCGAATCTTTTGTCCTTAATTTGTTTGCATTTTCCTGGTGGGATTTTAATGTTACAGTTGTCCATGACCACTGTCTTCATTTCGACAACACGAGTTGTTACGTGAAAAACCATGAATAGAGTTATAATATTAAAATCAAGTGTCACCCCTCTGTACATGCCTTTTGAGGTTTATGTTCTTAGGCTCGCTGTCCCTGTACTGCACCCTTTTTTTTTTTTTTGGGGTTAAGAGGGAAAGCGTGACCAGTATCAAACTCTTGACCTCTTTGCGATACCATGTTATGTGTGTCAGAAAGATAGCAATCAGTTTGCTAGTTGATATTGTTAGGAAAAGAAAGAAGTGAGTTTGTTAGGACTCTGACTCATTAAATAGCACTGTAACTGAAGAGGAGTTAACTTTAACATTTGGCGAATTACGAGTTCATTTTTCTCTCTCCTCTTCTCTCTTCTATTCTTACTTCTTTGACACTTATCATGCCATGCTAAGGACCTCACTTCAAGTCAGAAAGCTCAAGTTGTTAAGGGAAGTGTTATGATATGTAAATTGTAAATATACTCTTAGGGTCCAGTCCTTTATTTTGCTGTGGTCTATAATATGATAAATTCCAATTGCATATTTCATGTGGTCTGGTTTTTTGGAAAGCTGTTTTTTTCCTTCTGCTATTCAATGACTTGGGGGGTTGTATAGATTGTTTACAATTGTTAGGATGATGTGGATTTCTGATCTGCAGTAGATGGTAGAAGAAGATTTGTTCTTTTTTTTTTTTTTTTTGGTGATGTTAAGTTAGAGCCAAGAGAAAGAGAGAAAGGAACTGGAACTTAACTGAAATTTTTATTACACAAAGGCCACCAAGGCTTCCATACAATGACTCCCTTGTGCTCTGCTATAGATAGCAGTAAGGGCGATGTTACCAACTAACTTAATAAAGCCTCTACTAGCCATTTATCACATAACAATTTCCTATAGTGTCAATAGCTTTCAGAGGCTTTAGAAACAAGGAGGAACATAAATTCCTGGAGTTATGAAATGTTTCCAGTTAGCTTGCAGGAATACGTTATGCCTATTCATTTGCTTAGGGATTGAATAAACCATTATTATTTGTGGATTTGGGGTGCATTATCCCTAAATGGCAATGAATTGGACCGGAGAGGTTTTTATTAATATCTTGTCTCTTATCTTATTCCCATGTAGGTGTCCTGTCATCCCCCTCTCCAAATTATTTATCTTGTGATAAAGGTTATTTATATTGTTAATTGCCTAAAAGAAAAATTAGGTCATGATTGATAACTACCCTGCACCCTTCTGGATGTTCTGTTTGGTATACCCTATATAATATATAATGCTCCAATGAAAAATTTTAAATCTGGCACTTCAGGAATTGTATGAAAGTTGCTTTTAGATTTTACTCCCACTGTTGTTGTGGACGCATTTCTTTTGTTGCAGCTCATAGTATGACTGATAACTTTCCTGTACCCTGCTAAATGTCTGTTCGATACATTCTATGTACTGTTCCCTAGATAAATTTAATTCCGGCTCTGCAGGAATTGTATGAGATGTTTCTTGTATATGACATTGATGTCCCAGTATTGTATTGAGCACATTTCTTACATTGTAGTTTCTTAGCTCAATACTATTGTTATTTTGTTTGATGAAACCGGTAAGTTAACTTTGATGTGTTGAGCTTTCTCTCTTCTATATTTGTTTCAAATGTTGCTGATAATTTTGTTTACTGCCCTCTTCTGTGAAGGTATGCTGCTGTTTTTGCAGCCTTTGTTGCTGGGATGGCCTGCCTGGTTGGTATTGACTTCAGTGCAAAGTTTATGGCCTCCTTTGCCAAATGCTTTGAGGTATAGCATTTAAATAAATAAAATAGTTTTCTAACATTGCTGATTTTGTTTATTGGTTGGATTTTTGGATTTTAGATTCTTCTCAAGTCTTTGATTGACCTGTCAGAGTCTTCTAATTTCCCATGCTTTTCTCACAGGATGAATATAACAAGGAAGACAATCTCTCTCTGCGAAATCTCACTCTTCTCCTATGCTATTTATGCATATTTGGGGTCTGCTCAAGGTGAACTGACTGCATTACATGATGCACTCTTACATGCAAAACACATGCGCATATATTTTTGTGATCTTTTGCAACTCATAAAATCAATTTATGGAATAGACAGTTGGCTGCCGGCCATGACTTCGCCTGTTGTTCAAAATTTCAACTTTTATGATTATTGGGCAAGAATAAAGCTAGTTTTGTGTGATTTAACATCTTTTGCAAATATTAGGCGTGTCACTTTTTAAGTGACTATCTGAGTTTGATGGATTTCAAACTTGTATTTCTGTTGTAATGAGCTGCTGCTTGGAGTTCATTTGCATCTGTCATTAGTAATATGACCAATTTTTGTACTGAATCCCTCTCAACTATATTTTTCTAACAATCATGTCTTGCAATTCAGTGATTTAATATATGACTTCCTCATCATCCTGAGTAAGAGGTTAACAGAGATCGATGTCTCTACCATCTTAACGGTGTTACAATGTAAGTTTCTTTTTTCCCACGATGAATAATCTTTTAAGCTGCACATGTTAGGTTTGGGTTAATTTTACGTAGAATTGCTAGGGATGTAAACCGCTGCAAATAAGTTATTAAGACATCTACATTGGCCTAGTTCATTTATGGTAAGTCCTGAGTTGGGCATGCTCTTAATGCATTTTCTTGACAAAACAGTTATGTTAGAAAGTGATGCAGCTTCATGTACTTTCACACACTTTAAAATCCATGTAACGTACCATTATATGTTCAGATTTTCATATATTGGGATATCAATTTCACAAGTGCTACAAGTGATTATGTTCCTCGATATTTTTTGTCAAAAATATAGTTACTTGCGTAAACACACTATTAAAAATGTGTAGAGGCATAAGCAAGGAGTTCCTTCCACTCATCCGGCTAACTTAATATTGTCATTGCATTGTACTCATTTTTTTAAAAATCATAGTACGAATGTGCATCTGTTTTGTTCATTTCTCTTGCTTTATTCCTTTTTCCCCCCTGTCCAATTTTCATGTTGCATGAACTGAAGTCTGAAATCAATATTATGTTGTAACAAGACGGTACTTTTCAAACCCTGTTATCTGACTTCAACATGTTTAAATAGGCTGTGGGATGAAAATTAGGGCTGATGATCCTGCTGCCATGAAAGATTTCATTGTGAGTGTTCAGAATCGGGCAAATGAGTTGAAGGCTTCTGATGGTGGGGACCAAGAAAAAATATATAGCAAAAGAGTGAGCATGCTATGCTCTATCATCAAACTGCCTTCACTTTTTCTTGACAGTGTCCAGAACTGATTATTTAGTGACACTTGTAGATGGAATTTATGCTTGAAACCATCTGTGACATCAAGAACAACAAGAAAAGGCCCAAAGAGGACCCTGCACATCACACAAGGATTAAGAAGTGGTTACAGAAGGTACCATTCTCTAATCTGAACGTTTTGGCAGCCTTATCTAATATGTTGTTGCATATTAGTATGTCCTTTGTTATACTTTTGCTTGGAAAAAGTAATGCTTTAAAAACATTATCGTTGTTTTAACTGTCAGTTTTTTATGTAAACGCCATTTGTAAATGATAGTTTATTAATTTTTGTCCTAATACTTGTTCCAGCTAAGGGTGGATGATGTTTTGATTAGAGGATTTAAATGGAATAAGTTGCTTGACCCCAACAAGAAAGGCCAATGGTGGTTGTCTGGGGACGCAGCTCCCGCAACAGATAATGTTGTGGAAGTTGCCAACAGAATAGATAAAGATGTTCTCGAAACCCAGCGAATGTTGCAGCTTGCTGCCGCTCAAAGGATGAACACAGATGGTAGAAGAGCAATCTTTTGTATAATAATGAGTGGGGAGGACTATATTGATGCATTTGAGAAGCTTCTAAGACTAGACTTACCCGGAAAGCAGGTCAACCTTTTCCCTATGTTACTTGTGTCCTATTTTTAGCTATGTGATCTTCTATTGAGTGATACGTAATTGTTTCACGTCTGTGCAGGACCGAGAGATAATGCGTGTTCTTTTGGAGTGCTGCTTGCAGGAGAAGGTTTTTAATAAGTATTATACTGTATTGGCTTCCAAGTTGTGTGAGCATGATAGAAATCACAAATTCACTCTACAGGTTATTGTTCCCCCTTTTGTCGTGCATCGAAAGATATTTTTAATTCGCCTTGTCATGAAGGACGTGGCAACACTTATTTTGAAATGTTCGTTTATAAAAGTGGAATTTGATTCAAGTTAATGTTTTTGGGGATTTTTGTTTGCAGTTTTGCCTTTGGGACCAGTTTAAGGAGCTGGAATCAATGCAGCTGAGGAGGTCAATGCATCTGGCAAAATTTGTGGCAGAAATGGTTGCCTCTTTCACTCTCTCCCTCGCAGTTTTGAAGACCATTGAGCTAGGCGACATCACCCAGTTAACCCCAAAGAAGATCATGCATTTCCGCATGTTTTTTGAGTCCATTTTTGAGTATTCGGATAGCCAAGTGTGGAACATATTCACCCGTGTTGCGGTGACCCCTGCGCTTGAAAGCCTTAGAGAAGGCATTGAGTTCTTCATTAAGGAGTATATTCTGAAAGCCGACAAGGCTCTTACTCCAAAATTTAAGTTGGCTAAAAGAGCCCTTCATAATTTAGAAGGAGTTCTGATGTGATTTTCTGGTTTTGAATACATCAAAATTTTGTAGCTTTAATAATAGATATATTAAGTTGGCTAAAAGAGCCCTTCATAATTTTTTCTCTCTCAGGAAAAAAGGAAATCTGCTTATGCTTTGATAACGATGAAACAGTTAGGGGAGGGGGGATTTATATGCAAATTTTTTTTTTGTTTTTTTAATATGAAATGTATTTTCTATGATGTAATACAAGTATTTTTATTTTCAACTCAAGGAGATATCATGATTTTGGACAAGTTAAAATGTGTTCAGTAGGGGAAAAGTGGAGCTAACAGAACACAGCAGCTTGAGTATTGTCTCCTTTCAGTTTCATCCAACCAATGATGCCATTTGAGCCAGCAACTCGCAAATTTCTCACTCAGGATAGGAGTAAGCAACATAATTCTCGTCACTTATAGGCAAGAGAGCGCCGCCTGAAGCAATCGTCACGTTTGTCTTGCGCGAGTAAACAATGACCTTTCTGCAGGTTGAGGTGCTAGCTGCAGTTGAAGCCCTGCCACCTGAGCCTGTTGTCAAGTTGTCGCTCTTAGTGAGTGCAGGTGAAGACTGGATACTTGATAGAGAGGCGGTTTCTACACAGTGAATAGTAATTTCGGGAGGAGCAGAACCGCTACCAGCTGCAACTGTGATGTGTTCTGAAGATGGGTGAGCAGTGTGATAACTTTTAACCTCAGCAGCGCAGCCTGCAGCTATATTCGTGGTGAGAATTCTAGCGAGACTTGAATTCATTTTAATACATAAGGACTGCCACGAGAAATAATTCTCAACCTGGTAAAGAGAACAATTAAACTGCACCTAAGACTACAAGTAAATTGATAATTATTTTTATTTTTCATTTTGTATCATTAAATAAATTCCCAATAAATATCACCTCCACAATTCACAAAAGAAAGCACAACTTCGGAAGACATTAAAAATCAAGCATGTAATTTCATGTATTTCATCTATATTGTCTGTTCTTATTCCTTAGATATAAAGGCCGACAAGAGCCCCAATTAATTTTGTTTCAATTATGTCTTATGTGGTAAGCTAAATTGCAAATGTCATTCTAAATGCTAATTCCGTCTCATATGAGAACTGATGCTCCTCACACCAAGGATTATCTACTTCATACATGGATATTAGATATAAATGACTCTCTATTTTTGGGTCTCCAATGCTCTTTTGTCTAGCAAACACTCTTCCTTCAAGCTAAAAATTAGAGTTGATAAAGTCCCTAAACTGCCAGACTCATGAAGTCAATTGATGGTGAAAAGTTGACGGTTTTGGTAAACTTCAACATTAGTGGGTATAATCCCAACATCTAATTTTCACTCTACAGTCAATAGAGCATTCGGCTTGATGCAAGTAGTAGTCTAAAAACTGAACATAGGTTTCTAAGACAAAATACCCTTTTTATTCATTGTTAAGGAAGTGGCAGAGAAAAAGTTGTCATGTAGAAAGTGAAAACTCTAGAATGCTAGAAGCATTGAAAACGACTTACGCTTATCATCCTCATATTGGTTCTGAGTCACTGAGTTAGGGTTATAAACAATAGGAGATTTTGAATTGGCATAGTGTTGGAAGTGAGTTAGGTCAGTTGGATCTGAGTTGTGAGATGACAATGCAGGACCCTGTGCTTGATGAGCAGGGGGCTGAATCAATGAGCTTTGATTTAGCTTACCTGAAAGAAAAAGCAAGCAACAGTATAATGACCAGTATTTCTAAGCAGAGATAATGCTACCAGCTCCTATAATCTATAGTAAATCTTACAGTTCATTATAGTCCTAATAGTTTGGAGATTATTCGAGGGGATAGGAGTATTAGAGAAGGCTGAGAACTTGATAATTAGAGGGAAAAACTGAGCTAGAGTAAGACTCCTAGTGCTTACAACTAAGAAAGCATCCTTGTCACACAAGATCGTTGCTGGATACATAGTAATAAATAAACCGTAAAACACTAAAGGGAATCAAGTTTCTTCCTCCCCATCTCTTATGGAAGTAGGATGGAAATGCTTTTTCAGATCATGGGCTTTTTTTTTTTTTTTTCTCTCCTTCAGGATTTAAAAGGGGTTAGAGAGCTATCTTGAGCTGATGCTTTTCCTATAAATTCGCTCATTCATTTTCCAAGTACGTTTGCTGTAGGAGGATTTCATACCTCCATTGTTGCAAACTTGCACTTCTTTCATTCTCCTTAATATGTTCTTTTTTCATCCAAGGAAAAAGAAAGCAACATACAATCAATATGACTATTCACAAACAGTAGGGAAAAAGATTAAGACGAGTATCAACAAAAAAGAAAACACCTTTGTGTTCTTTCAAGGTCGTGTAAGCAACCTTGGCTGCACTCATCTCAGCCTGTTTCTTTGTTTTTGCTTCTTGTCCAGTATAAAGTGCTCCTCCTATCTCCACATTTGAAAAAAATTTGGGCATATGAGCCTCACCAGATTTGGTAGTGTTGTAAACAGGTAAACAAAGTCCTTCCTTTTGAACCAATTCTTGTAAAAGGTTCTTGTATAAACCAATATCATCCTGAAAGGTAAAGGCAATCATATGGATGAGATAAGCATCGCGACATGACAATTTTAAAAGCTAAAGAATAAAGTTATACTAGTGGCCACAGGTGATTAAAATTTAAAAACCAGCCTCTTGAGCTCCAGGAACTGTCAATGACATCAGAGCAACTTTTGCAGCTGCATGTTCAGCATCCTTTAATGTAGGAAAAAATTGGGGACTCTCAAAAGTTTGTCCATCTATTGTAACTTTACACTTAAAACGACTAGCATGAGGAGGACCCTCTCGCTCGGTAGAATACTCGGGCAGATTCAGGTTTCTCTTTTGAGCATAGTTTTGGAGCTGATTCTTATACAAACGCTGCACGTCCATGACAGGACTCACTGTCAAAGTCACAAGTCCAAGTGTGATTTGTCATTAGATAAAGAACATGTTGTAAGAGAGAAAGGATAAGTAGCCAAAAAATATATTATATTATTATCAATTTCCTTCATGTTTTCGCCTACCATTATTTGAACTTTGCAGACCCACAATGTCATCAAAAGTTTAACCAATATAACAAACAGAAAAAGAAATGGCATTGCTCCCTTTCAGTAAACACACTCCATCAAACGCATTAGTCTGAGTCTAGTATGAATAAAACGGTGCTTTATGCTTTGTCTTTGTGTGTGTGCGTGTGAGATTGCGATTTGCTGCCACCAGCGGAAGCTAGAGATCTGATATCTCCTTCTGTTAATGGAAAATTGTTCTTCAGCGCATTTAGCCATTGATCCAAACCTTAACAGAGAGTAAGCATGAGCATGGAAAAGTTAAAATGAAAATCAAAGCTTTTTAGCCCCACCCATTATAAATTCTGCTGAATGCAACAATCATTATTTTGGGAGAAGAAAACCACTACTTACCCGTTCACAACAAAGAACGAAAATAGGAAACTGAAGAGAACAAGGAGAGCAAACCATAATTGGCAAAATATCGAAGGACCAATTATGAAGAGCTTCACCCCCGGATATCATGTCTAGACCCATGGACAATTCTGACAGGCCACTTGGGAGCAAAATTACAAAATCCCAATCCAAAAACTGTCTACAGAAAATAGAAAATATAACTCCCTCCACTATCCAATAAGGACTCCTAAATGTTGCAGCACGGTGTTCCACATGATATACTGATATGCAGCACACATTAAATTAAATATATCATAAGAATGTGAATAAATCTAGTGTAGTTACGATGTAGTACATAAGTATAAGAAACTAAACAGTTGTTGAAAATGTAACACGACAGTTTAATAATCATCCAGAACCTAACTGAATTAACCAAAAATCTCAATGTCAACACTTAAATCAACGTTAAAAAAGCTTAGCGTCCTATGAGATCTCAAATAGGCTCCTCCTCTTTACTCAAACCATAAATTGGCATTCCTGCAGCATCTCGGCTTTTCCATGACACAAAAAAGGAAAAGTGAAAGTGAAGATGATAGAAAGAACTAATTGAAGATCATAAGAGAAGTGGCTGCCAGAACTGTCCTCTAGAGAGGCAGAGTTCCAGCCTTCATCTCTGGACATAATAGAAGGCGGTGTGGTTGTATATTGCTCCCAGTTTTGTTAGAGTTTTACATGCCATTACGTTTACCATATAGCGCAAACAGTAAACACCACAAACAAGAGTTCTATATCCCTAGCAGTGCTCACTTTAACTGCACCATATGAAGAATACTGTGCCACAACACCTATGGCTTAGCATAAGCTCTAGCAATGTATAGCTACTAGCTATATCATGTTCAATATTGCTATTAAAAACTATGATCCATCAAGGAATGATATAGGAAATTAAATACCATTAAAAGCTAAAGCTATCACTCATCATAACTCCTAAGAAACTAAAATTACAGCAAGAACAGCAACTTCTGTTAAGAGGAAAAATCACATCCAAGCCAATCAATCAATCAAGTCAGTAGCAAACAAACTTAGCATCCCTCATTCACACACCACAGCCCGTAGGCAACTATCTACCAGAACCAAGTGTATTGGCGAAACCCAATCTAGAGGAACACCGTATACAGTACCATTAAAACGTCATTGCTATGGAAGTAACAAAAGAAGAGAAACTAAGGCATACTTGAGTCATTTTTTGGATTCCCTGCTGTCCTGTTATCTTTATCTGACGTGGTAGGCCTTTTGATCTCAATCGCTTGGGATGCATCTGGTACCTCGGGGTTTGTCACACTTCTTTTATAAAGTGTCTCAACAACACCAATGGCCGGAGAAGATGAAGCTGTAAATACAATGCAAATAAACATGAATCTTTCTGCAGTGTTTAAAAGCATAATTCACATTTTAGACAACCATAGCAGCAGCATGCAAAATTACCCTTCATCCTGAAGAAATAACCTCCACCTTGTAAGTGTGGAGAAGTATGATAATTTATGACTTAAGTACATGTAACAAGTCTACACGTCCATGCTACGAAGGGTGAATTCAGGCATTCTGATTCCCTTAAAATAGCTTATCAAGTTTGAAATAAAACAAGGGATGGACACAACTTAGACAAAAAGAATAGATTTATAATTGTATCATTCTTCATAAAGCGTCTCTCGTAAACCTAGCAAGAAATCAATCCCAGCCTCAAATGGGAAATTACAAAAGATGTTTTTTTCCTTAAAAAGACAATAATATACGAACCAGTAGACGTCGGCGCTGAAGGCTGTGGAAGAGAAAACGGAGTTGGCGGAAAAGACGGCTGCGGAAACGAAGGTTGAGGCAGGGAAGATTGAAGAACAGAAGGAGAATTTGAAGTTTGGGGAGGGGGAGAAGGTGGTTCGGGCTTTGGGAGAGAAAAGTGCTCATAAGCGAGCTTAGCCACATTGTTTTGAGCTTCTTTGGAGGTTCTGCAAGGTGACGGCGTCTGAAATTCAACCCCATTAACTGTGATATTAGCACTATAGCGAGGACGGTGATCGGCTCCTTCTTTGGTCGTCTGATAGTCCGGCAAGCTCCATGATCGCCGGTGGCAGAGCTCTTGCAGCTTCGATTTGTACATTGCTTGCTTGTCAGCAGTTAGGTTACTCGAGAGAAGGCAAGAACCTGTTCTTTCTCTCCCACTCAACCTCTGTCTCTATGGGTGTGGTGGTGACTGGTGCGAGTGCGAAAGACTAGAGAGAACATAACCATATAACTTATGCTGACGTTTGGCATAATTGCGTTAAGCATCAACCAACAACACCTTCTTTCTTCTTTTTGGTCAATGAACAACACCTCTCTCCACAGTACTAATTATAAAACTTCGTTAATAAGTACTTATATGACATCAATTGTTAAAAAAAAAAATTTTTAAAAAAAAGTGGTTACGAGTCGAGAAATAGAATCGCGGATAGATGCCGTAATCACGCGTGAAGGACACGTACACCAAAACAACTTTACATTTAAAAATTTATTGCATTCAATAAAATGATCTATTTTTGGTTAAAAAAAAGACTTGCTAATTATGTTAAAGGGTTAAGTGCATTCAGTATCCTGAAATATTTTTTCAGGTGCAGTTAGCACCCTAAAATATTTTATGGTATATCTAACATCCCGAAATATTTTCGTGGGTGTTGGATTATTTTGTGGAGCATCTAGCATCTCAAAGTATTTTTTTCCTGCACCCAAAAATATTTTTTAGTGCATCCAGCACCAAAGTAAAAAAAAAAAAAAAGTACTTCAGTATGCTGGACATCCCTAAAAAATACTTCGAGATGTTGAATGTACCACAAAATACTTTAGGGTGTTAGATACATCTAAAAAAATTTCAGGATATTAGATGCACCTTAACCCTGTGTTAGAAAGAGTGAGTCGTTAAAGACATGTTCATTAATTTCTTATGAAAGCGAGGTCATATACTCATTACTAATATTCATTTTTTTTCCTTAACAATTTACGATGGGTAAATTCAAGCATGGACGCATCTAATTTTTTGCTTTTTCTTTTATAATTCCCACATCTATTGTATCTTTTTATTGAGGGTTTCACATGTAAAAAAACTAAAAAAAGTGCTCGGAAAACAATAAACATCATCACATTTGTTAATTATGCAATATGTTATCTCCCCTTTTTTATAAATTATTCTCGAATAACTCGTTGATATCAATTGTTTTTCGCTTAACAATTTGACTGTTTTATAGTTACATATACACAGTCTTCCTTCATAATTATAAGTCCGTTTTAATTAATTTACATTCCCAGTAAATTATCAATAACATACATTATTTATTCCAATTTAATGCCGTGTACATTTTAATTAGGGAAAAAATTATTAATTACAGTACAGTACTATACTCTTAATTGTGGAAATTTTCAGAAAAGCCGTGTTAGTTACACTTGAAAAAGGAAAAAATTATTCAAGGGATGTGCTGCAACGTATGTTTAACAAGAAATGTCATCTTCAGCTAGCTTTGAGCTCTAAGCCATCGTTCTCGCTTTTCTTCTTCTTGACGGGTTTGTTATTCGTCTCCCTTTAATTTCTTCTTTGTTGTACTAGTTCCAGATTCTAGATTTGCTAGAGACTTAGGGCACCGATAACGTGGTTCTACTTAACACGGATCATTATGCTTAACACGGATCGATCACAGTTTAAAGCTTTTGCACGTACAATTCTAAAAGAAAGATTTCTGCCCAGGTATATTTTACGTGGGACATGACAATTTTAATATTTCGATTTATTGATTTCTTATACATTCGATTATACAAAAAGGCACAAAATAAATGCCGAAACCAATCGCTCACAAGAGCATGTACTAAGCAACTAAACATTCAGCTCACAGTTATTGAAATAACAAAAAGAAGAAAAGGAAAGAAAAGAAAATTTTCCTTTATCTCTGAATCAAGCAGAACCAGTAAAAAAAAAAGAAAAAAGAAAAAAGAAAAAACCTCTTTCTTGAACCATTTTATTAGGCACTGGCGAGCTTGTTGCGGATGCTTTTGGCAGCATCGACCATGTTAGTGAGGGCTGCCTTCACCTCAGCGTACTTTCGAGTCTTGAGCCCACAATCAGGGTTCACCCACAAGATGTTCTTCTCCAGCACTGCAAGCATCTTGTTGATCCTATCAGCAATTTCCTCAGTTGGTGGTATTCTTGGAGAATGAATGTCGTACACACCAGGCCCAATCCCAGCTCCGTACTTGACTCCTTCACGGAACACTGACAAGAGCTTCTCATCAGAACGAGAGTTCTCAATGGTGATCACATCAGCATCCATGTCGATAATTGAGTGGATGATGTCGTTGAAGTTGGAGTAACACATGTGGGTGTGGATCTGTCCATTGTTTACATTACGATGAATGATATATATATCTATACAATATGGATATTGAAGTTACAGTTTTTAAGTCGTTTTGATTGGTAATTAGGAAGTACCTGAGTGGTATCTTGTACTCCAACGTTGGTGATCCTGAAGGAGTGCACAGCCCATTTCAAGTAGTCAGCTTGCTCTGACTTCCTCAGAGGCAAACCTTCTCTTAAAGCAGCCTCATCGATTTGGATGACATTAATGCCGGCCTTCTCAAGATCTTCTACTTCATCCTTAATAGCCAAAGCAATCTGGTAGCAGGTCTCAGATCTGCGGATGAATTTATACATCGTGTTTAGGAACAACAATACGATGAATACTGACTGAACCATATCTCTACGTATAATGAATTAAATGGTGTGTTGAGTTTATTATACCTAGGCTGGTCATTTCGAACGAAGGACCAGTTGAGAATGGTGACAGGGCCTGTAAGCATTCCCTTCATGGGTCGTTTGGTCATGCTCTGAGCTGTAGATGACCAGAAGACAGTCATGGGTTTTGGGCGGCTCACATCACCATAGATGATTGGTGGCTTCACGCACCGGGATCCATAAGACTGCACCCACCCATTGACAGTAAAGGCAAAGCCTGAAAGTTGCTCGCCGAAGTACTCGACCATATCATTCCTCTGCAATGAAAGGCATCCAGCATAAGTGAGAAGAGTTCAAACCATCCGAATTGTTCTAGCTTTCTCCTTCATTTAGTCATATGCTGTTATTATTTGAAGATGAAAGCTGACCTCAGGCTCCCCATGTACAAGCACATCAATATCGAGCTCTTCTTGGAGTTCCACTACTTTGCGGATTTCCTCCTTCATTTCCTTAACATACTCTTCCTCAGAGATCCTAAAGAAATCAAGATCAGCATGAATCGATGAAGCCACAAGAGGAAGAGAACAGAGCTAGATATTAGGCTGATCAAGCTTCTTACTTGTTAGCCTTGTATTCACGGCGCACTTTCCTTAGTTCTGCTGTCTGAGGGAATGATCCAATAGTGGTGGTTGGAAGGATTGGAAGGTTAAGCTTCTTTTGTTGAGTATCTAGTCTGGCACTGACATTTGTAGCACGGCGATGGTCAGAACCTTTCAACGCATCAGCCTAAGGAAAAAAGCAACCATTAGTACCAAAAGAATCATATATACACCCCATTCAGTTGAGAAGAAACAGTCATGAATAAAGCACTCACGGCCTTGCGAACAGCTTCATTGGTCACTCTTGGCGAGGACTTTCTTGCGGCCAGGGCAGTAGCATTAGCAGAGAAATAGTCCTGAAAATAAAAGCGCAAAAACAGCGATTCAGCGAATGATGCAACAAAATAAGCAGGTAACAAATGGAAGTTGATTTTATTTTTACACTTTTTGACCCTCGTAACAACACGCCCGGAACAAACTACACTGAGTCAAATGCCAATATATAAGTTAACCTGACTTCCATTCTGAGATACTATCGATTTTTTTTTTTTTTTGGGTCAAGTGTCGGATAAAATCGAAAAAAGTTGCCTATGACCAATTATAAGTCAAGCGGTAAGTTCATTTGACAATAAAATTATTACAACATTTCGAGTAACGTAGTCTGTCCGTATTATCGAGTAACGGACATTCTTAAGCAATCCAACAGAGAAATCTATTTTGTCAGGAGTGACATAAACCGAAAGAATTACCTCATCCTTTTGACCAGACAATGCCTTGGCCAAAGCATTGACTTCATAAATCTTTTGGGCAGCAAAAGCTAGCCATGACATGATCTCAGCATCCAACTTGGTCTCATTGGCAAGATCAACAGCAGTGTGAAGAAGTGAGCAGGATGTGGACACCACAAGGTTATCTGAACACAATTTAAATAACAGATTTGTTGGGCAACCTATTAACTGTAAAACTCCACAAAAATTTTCATATATACGTTGTCAATATTTACCTTTGCCCACAACACCCTCAAGACTTTGTAATGTACTGAGAGAAGCAGAAAGATCATTAGCCCAGATGTTCCTGCCATCAACTACTCCGGCAAAGAGGAATTTACCGCTGGGAAATCCGCCCTTGATCAAATCAACAGTCTTGGTTCCTCGGATAAAATCAAATCCAAATGCTGTGACACCCTTCAAAGCTGTAATGGTCTTGTATGCCTCAGCAGGAACATCAGCAAAGCAGGTTTCAACAAGCACATTGAGACCAGATAAAGAGGATTCGAGTTCTGAGTATGCTTCAGTGAATGCTTGTAATTGGTGAGATTCAAGGTCTAAGATAAGGGTGGGCTCATCAAACTGAATCCATGAAGCACCAGCTGCCTTAAGATCAGCTACAACTTCTCTGAGTTTATAATTATAAGCGAGTTAGAGAATTAAGACAAAAGTTGAATAAAGGGCAGATAGTTGAAGTCTGTATATAGGTTAATAGTAGTTACTTGTATACTGGAAGGAGTTTGGGGAGGAGAGAAAGAAGTGGAAGCGATTTTTCTACACCCTTGGCAGGCTTTGAGAGCAATAAGTAAGATACTGGGCCAACGAGAACAGGGATGGTATCTACTCCAAGCTGCAAGAGGAAAATAAACGTTCATTGACAATGGTGATAATGACAAATATGCTTATTAGGCTTAAGAGTGAAGATTTATCACAATGATCCCCATACAAGAACTGACTGACATAATGGGATCAACAGAGCATTGAAAAATAGATACATGACAAGGACTAAATCAACGCGATCATTTCAAGAAAGCTTCAGATCTTTCGGGCTTGGACACTGATACAAATAAACTGTCTTTGCAGTCCTTCTTATATCAATTAGCTTTACTGTACTTAATTCCAGATTCTCATGTTAGAGAGTAGTTGATTTAAATGACTTTTACACATATCGATACATACCGCCTTGGCCTCCTTGTATTCATTTACTGCCTTGTGAGAAGCATAGGAGAAGTTCACATCAGGTCCCAGTTCGGGGACAATATAATGGCTGGGTCAATGCAAAAATAAAAGCTTAGCAATTAGGTTACTCTGTTCGTATCATCGATGGTGGAAAGATAATACAAAAATGCTTTATACATCACTTACTAGTTCGTGTCAAACCACTTAGTCATCTCCATTGCAGGTACAGATGCGTTTCCTCTGGCCATGGAGAAGTAAGTATCAAACTCAATCTCCCCACCAGTCCAGCCATACCTCGGTGGAACAGCGCCAACCGTGGCGGTAGCATCAAGCACGTGATCGTAGAACGAAAAGGTATTGCTGGGGATGTACTTGATCCCGACCTCAGCCATCTGCTTCCAGATGGATGCCCTGAGATCAGCAGCAACCTTTTTCAGGTCACCGGCACTGCTCTTCCCATCCCAGAACGATTCTAGAGCGAACTTGAGCTCTCTCTTGGGGCCCATGCGAGGGTATCCAAAAATATGGGACGCCATCTTTCTGATACATCAATTCAAAATTCAAACACAAGTCAGACGTTAGGGTTGAGAAATTTTAATTTGACAACAGATACGCACATCGTTCACAACACAAACCCGCGTATAGGAAAACAACATCCATCAAACAATAATAATTGAGGCGATATGTAAGTTAACGGTACCTTCTTGTATGATCCTTAAAATTATGAAACATTACGTGTCATTTCGATCGAATTTACACAATCGCAAGATACAGGAAGCCAATGCACTTCCATAAACAACACTTTCAAGGGGGAGAGCAAATGGCAATAAGAGATGGTGAAAAGGAATGTGGGGAGGAAAGACAAACGTAAGCTAACTGAGGTAGAATTGAGCAGGATAACACTTGGGGAGCTCACGCCACCAGCGAACAGCCGCCAATATATCTATATTTGGAAAATTAAATACGGCTTATTTACCATCAGATTTGCTTAAGATTGTTACGTTATCAATCATTTATCTCTGAACAGGGGATGAAAAACGAAATCATAATTTAAAGGCTCCGATCCATTATAATGAGAGAACCCCAGAACTAGATCCACAGATGAAAGTAATCAAACACAATAGATCTACCAATCAATCAATTTGGTGAAAAGGCATGGAACCAAATCGCAGTTTTGAAGAATAAACAGCGAATTCAATAACAAAACTCCCAAGAGATTATGCATGCAGAAACGCTTTAGTTAATTCGAATGAGCGTCCTTGAAAGCAGCACACGCATACCCGGAGATCTCAGCGGGGGATAAAAAGTTGAAGGAGAGAAAAAAAACAGAGAACTCAGCCAATAATGGGGAATGTAGACGACGAAAAAGAGACAAATGGGACGATGAGAAGGGAACAGAAGTGGGGGAGAGACAGTGAAGGGAACCTCGAGCAAGGCACTTTGTATTAGCACAGAGACAGAAAATTAGTGAATAATAAACGGACGAGAGGAAGAGAAGGAGGCCCGTGCCTTTTCAAGTGCAGGGAGACCAATTCTCGCTTCAAAGATAGGGAGAGAAATTGAAGCAGTGAGAAGGGCGCGAGTAAGAGGGGGCAGTTATCGAGTTATTTATAGCCATTTTGCCGGGAAGACTTACTTACAATTTTTTTTATTTCTAAGGTCTTTTTTTGTGATTTTTCTTTAAAAAATTGTAATAAATTCTACTATCATTAATTAATTATGAGCAGTGTAATTATTCTCGTGATTTTTTTGCCAACTTATTATTCTCGTAATTAGTCTAGTTTATTTCTTAACTTCATTTAGCGTAATACTTGATTTTATAAAATTAATGCAAATACTACTATTGTGGAAGAGAATGGAATATTGTTGAATTTTACATACTCAGACAGTCATACTTTGAGTGTGAGATTATTCTCGCTTGAAAAAATGCAATAGTATACTCCCCACGCTAACGGCATGCCATTTATGGAATTAGGGGTGGCGAAAGGAATTTAAAAAAAAAATGTTTGTATTTATTTGACCATCAAGCATCGACGCCAAATTTATTATTTATCAAATACTCATAATTATAAATTACGTGAATGTTTTGCAAGTGCTTAGAGAGGCGAATGCGAGTGTCCTTTTGCGGGGTTGGTGATGGAAGTTGGTGTGAAAGGACTAAACAGGAATACGCAATGATCGTATAAGAACTTTGTGGCGGGAAAAAAAAACTACCTTTTATTAATATTCATTAATTTAAAATGTTACCAAATTATTTAATTATGGCATATAAATTATTAAATTATATATCAATTAATAAATGAGGTAAATTAGTTGATAAAAAATAATAGATGTAAATAATTTTAAATGATTTAGTAATTTTTTAGTTTTTTCAAATTAGTTAACTAAGCTGTAGTATTATATGTGTTTTTTTAATGCAAATTTAGTTCCTTAAAAAATATATACATAGGTGACCAGCAAGTTTCGCTCCAGTTATTTTATTTTACTACTTCTTCGATCTTTAATATATAACCTGATTCTTGAGTTGGTTTTGGTTATAAATATAAGACTCATTTATTATATTTATCAGTTTTCTTTAAATTACCCTTGTGGATACTCCCTTAACCATAATCAAATAGAAGAGTGAGAGGAGGTATTCAGAAAAATGATTATGGTGTTTTAGGAAAAACATGTCATTTTTCTTATAATTAACTAACTTATCTAACTTCCCTAATATAATCAAATTAGTTAAATAGGTCTTATATTAAGGACCGGAAGAGTATTATCTTTGATTTTTAATATAAGAATTAGTTGACTAATTTAAGTGAGCTAAGAAAATTATTTAAATTAGTTATTTGTAATAAATATGTGTTATCTTTTCTAAAATATTATTGCTAATCAAGTGTATTGTCTAGAACTACTATTGTTACAATGGTTATCTCAAAAAAAAAAAGAGAAATAAAGTGAATTGAGGTCTAATATTTATGATCAAGATAAAAGTTAAACAATTTTTTATATTAAAGACCGGAGGTAGTACTCCTCCAATCCTTAATATATGACATAATTATTGAGTTGATTTTGATATTAAATATAAGATATATTTATCATATTTATTAATTTTTCTAAATTATCCTTATGAACACTTCATCAACTATAATTAAAAAGAGGGATGGAGGATATTAAGGAAAATGATTATGATGTTTTAGAAAAAACATGTTATATTTCTTATAATTAACTAACTTATCTAATATTTTTAATCTAATCAAATTACTTAAATATGGAGTATTTATTTTTGACAAACTATTCAATTATTTAATTTTGTTGTTCATTGCCAAAACCACAATCAAATGCCCAAATTACCCTGGGCTTCATGGAAAATGACAACCTATTGCGGTTGGTGCCCGGGGCCGGGGGTAGGTGAGACAAGGTGGGTTTTGTGTTGATTAAGTCTAATTATGTGCGTTACGTGAACAAATTATGTTGGGGTTTTCTTTTTAAGTTTCAAGGGGAAAAAGTTTTTGAAATCTGAACACAGTTTTTAGAAATTTAAACAGTATGATATGAAATGATTGCGCACGTAAATGATAAAGAATTTTGAAAAAGATGTGCTTTGTTTTTAACGGGTGCAGACTTAGCATGACCACTGAATTCACACTCTAAATCCTTAAATTATTTTTCAAAAATAAAATATTTTATTTGCCGCGCTCGAGACACAACATAAATCGAGACAAAAAAAAAAACGAGCTGAGTATAACTATTCGTATTTTAACAAATAAGATAAAATAGAAACTGACTAACGTAATTGTTTCCCCACATCAAAAACTAACTGTGTCGACTTGAACTTTGAATATGGATGAAATCAACACCATAGTTTTTAAAATATTTTTATGATATACAAAGTAAATACGTGGATAAATTTGTCTCGTTTTATGAAAGAAACACTTTTAAATGCTTCTAAACACTTCCTAATCATCAATCAATAACTACTAAAATACTTGTAAAGTTGGGTTTTAAACCATTGAATTCAAACTCTAAATCCTTAAATTATTTTTCAAAAATAAAATATTTTATTTGCCGCATTCGAAACACAACATAAATCTAGACATAAAAAAAGAGTTGAGTATAACTATTTGTATTTTAACAAATTAAATAAAATAGAAACTGACTAGCGTAAATGTTTCCATATATCAAAACCTAACTGCGTCGACTTGAATTTCAAATATGAATAAATCAAAACTATAGTTTTAAAAATATTTTTACAGTACATAAAACAAATACGTAAAGTAATTTACCTTGTTTTACGAAAAAAACACTCTTGGGTGCTTCCAAAGACCTCCTAATCATCAATCAACAACTATCAAAATACTTTTAAAGTGGGGTTTTAAAAGAGCGTTGAGCAGAAGGAATGCTATAAAGCCCAAGGCTAAGGCCTCGTAAATTATTCTTAAAAACTAAAAAAACGAGCGGGACGTGCACTTATCCTCCTCTACACGTGTACTGTTTATATTATTTGTCATGAGCCAAAAAAAATACTACCTCTTTTTTTTTAACATAAGAGTCTACTTGAATTTTATTTTGGTCTTAGTTATAAGATTTCAATATAATTTATTTATCATATTTATTTATTTATTTAATATAATGTTTATAATAATAATAATTCTCATCAACACGTTTAGGCAAATAGGATACATTTTAACCACCTTTCTTCAGCGCAACGCCTCAAAGTCTTCAAAGTTTACCTGAATCTTGTCTCTCAAAAACGCGCACGAGATTTTTGGCAAGGCATTATGATTAATGTTCCAAAGGAGAGAAATAGCAGACGAAATAATGTTTGAGGCTGCAGTTATCATTCTTCTTTACCGTTCTTCGTTCAACAGTCACTTGCCCAAAGTAAAGTAGTGCTTCCGTCTTTTGGACGCCTTGGGATTTTCGTTCTAAAACCCACCCGCATATCCTCCGTCAAACAAACAGCTCATATTCTGGGGCATTAATTGTAACATTTCGTCAGTCAATAAAACAGGTTACTGGCTGACAAGTGAACTAAGAAGGGAGAGATCTATCTAGTTATGATCCGACTGGGATTTTTCTCAAGCTGCAAGTCTGCCAGTAAAGCAGTATTTGGTTAAGAACTGATGATGTGTGCTTGTTCTTTGACTTGACACGTCCTCAAGCCATTAATGCATGGGGGGCTGGGCACGGGGCGGACGATTCAATAAATCAAGCGTCCCATCAGACCTTCAAGAAAACCGGCAAGGCGACAGAATGCCTACGGATAGAGGTATGATTCCTATTTCCTGTACCTAAAATATCAATAAAATATGCGTCAAAAGGCTTTTTTACTGTTCATCTTCCATCCCCTTCCCCGGGGACGCGGCTTCTCTCTTTTTCCCTTACCATCCGCTGCCCTCCTTTACCTTTGATACTTGCGCTGTTTTGAGTGAAAGCAAGGGAGGGTGAAGGGCTTCTTCTTTCTTTCTTTTTTTTCTTTTTTTTTTAATTTTAAAAAAATATCTAATATCTTAAAATATTTATTTCAGTGTCATTTCCTATCCTAAATTAATTGTCAATACACTAAACAAGGTAAAATAATTTTTTAATAGCACCTAATATTTAACACCCAGCATTTTAACAATTAAGGTATTAGATATATTTTTAAAATTAAAAAAAAAGAAAAAGAAGAAGAAGGCCTTCACCCTCCCTTGCTTTCACTCAAAACGGCGCAAGTATCAAAGGTAAAAGAGGGCAGCGGATGGTAAGGGAAAAGGAGAGAAGCCGCGTCCCACATTCATGTTTCACTGCTTTCCTTCCAGCTCCGGGAGGCGAGGCTTGGACCTGTAGAGGAGTGGGCAACTCGCTGCAGTTTTCAAGAAGAGCCCTCAGAAGTCCCACATCGTTCACGATTATAACTGTATCGTGGTTTATATAGACTTGCTGCAACGCTTTAGATCGTCCCTTCGGGGACATCCGATAAAATTGGAACGATACAGAGAAGATTAGCATGGCCCCTGCGCAAGGATGACACGCACAAATCGAGAAATGGTCCAAATTTTTTTTCTCTTCCCGCTGTTTCGTTTCTGTGCTTGCTCTGTTTTTCTCCGTGTGCTTCTGAGGTGAATGGTATCTCTGTGTGCTCCATGTCGTTGTATGCTTACTCTGTTTTCCTTCCTGTGCTTCTGGGATGAATGGTTTTCTCTGTGTGCTCCATTTCGTTGTGTGTTTACTCTGTTTTTTTTCTGTGTTTCTGGGGTCAATGGGTAATACACTTCACTCTGTTTTTCCCTGCTCTTGGAGAATGGCTATTATTTCAATTTTATTCCAACGAAGAAAATTATCATCTGCCTCGACTTTAACGATTAAATAAAAATGAGATATCAAACAATTATAGGTAAATTTATAGAAAAGGATAAACGCTGATTCGTTCGCTAATACAAGTACCTTTATTTGAACTTAACAAGCCGTCTACAATCGAACATGATCGACAAACGGTCGGTTTAAAAAGAAAAAAGAAGAAGTTTCATGAAGGGGAAATTTGAATAAGAAATGATGTTGCTTCATAGTG